GGAAAGAGTTCATTACTTGGAATTCAGTGCATGCATCTGTCTCAACCTTTAACTTTAAGAACTAGTTTGACATTTTAGGAAATATGCTTTTGGCTTTCTTGCTGAGGATAAGATGATAAGATTAATGTGCAGATAAGCATATATCTACACAACTATTCATTTATCAGGTTGAAATGCAACTTACGTGATAACGTTTGATGGTCCATACATCATATTCACTTGAATTCTCTTGGCAAACCTCAAGGTAAACCCAGTTGTCTGGTGAAAAAATACCACAAAAAAGTTAGCATCATAGCTATTGCTCCCCTGAAAGTGAAAAATCATAAACATAAAGGTTTAGAAGATCTTACAGGTTCCACATCCAGGAAGGTGCTATGGTGCTCCTCGCTGGGACTGAGGCCCAGTACAGCCTCTCGCAAGGATGGACTACCATAAAGGAAGTGGGGCAGAGAGATGTAGACAGGTCTTCCTGTTCAGATGGCAAGGAAATAATGTCTATTTGAGATGCCAAGCTGTGAAGAAGAATGATAAAACTGTACAGGAACATTCTGGGATGCCTGAACTCCCAGCTGATTCTGGATCAATGGGTAAAACCATTGTTAGGTTATTTCCTAGTTAGATAGATATTCAGAGATTTGTTGTCTAGAAATGTTTAGTGCAGACAGGTTGACTAGCTCAGGCTGTTGACTGTTCAGCCTGCAGTGCAGACTGCAGGCACGTCAGGGTTACAGGAAAAGAGCTTTTAGGGTCAACTGTAATGCTAGTCTTAATATTTGTATTAATGTGTAAGGTTATGTCCAATTGTTTAGATACACACCACGAAAACAACAGTCACGCACCTTGACTTTTCCTCATGTTTTGGCTAACGTTATAGTCAGCTGCAAAGCTGGCATATCAGGTGACGTCACGGTTTTGACGCCCCTTGTAGCATGGGCTAGCCCAAGAAATGATTAAGATTATATAGGCTTTTTGGTCCAGGCTTCTTGAGCCTTTCTGCTGCCTGCGCGCAGGTAGAGGGTGAGAGAAAGGTCTGGACGTGTAATGTGAATTTTATCTGTGATCCTCTGAATAAACCAGCACGGTTATTTCTTATAAAATCTAAAGCAGTCTACTTCGTCTCATTGAGAGTTCCTGGTTTGAAAGAACCGGAAGAAGCTTCAGAGAAATAATAGCTTATACCATGATGCTGGAAACTAAATTCAAACTGACCATCTTGACAGGAGCTGATATCCAGCACTCCAGCTATGCTGCAGTTGTTGGTGAACTTTTGGTTTCTGCAGAAACATCGGTTGTCTGGGTTGACTGAAGGAGAAGCCATGGTGATTGGCTGGAGGGTGTAGCGGTACACCTCAATCCCTTTCAAATTTATGCTGTCCTCAAAACTGGCGGACACAGACCTAAAGACAACAACACAGAGAAAATGACCTTTTGAACCCAGTGACCTGTGGCTCTATTGTGCAACTTAATTCACACTGACTCATGTACATAAATGTGGTTTTGATATTGGAAAGCTCTGACCTCTAGTGGTTAGTAAGAGGAAATAAGTACTAAAGGTTGCATCTCTTAAATGAAAATGTCAGCTTTCTGGTGGGAGACATTTACTGGCCCAGTTAACATTAGCAGATCACAGTCATACTAGATCAGATGAAATTGCTCATACAAAATAAAACCCTTTGTCACCTGCAGATGTCTGATGAGAAGAAAAAGAGAGGCTTCTTCTTGTCCAAAAAGGGAGGGAAGGATGAGGCATCTGAGAAAAAAAAAGTGCCTTGTCTGCACTTACTGCTGCATAATTTTTGTAAGTGGGGTTCAGAAAAAAAGTAACTGCTGCATAAGCTGTACCTGTGCCGTTGATCATGTCACAGTACGTGTCATTCCAGAAACCTAAGCTCCTGTTATGCAAAATTAGGTTTGTTAGACAAACTTTCACAGTTTGGTTTAACAACCAAGAAACCTGCATTTGTCAAAATCTGCACAAACTCATTAACCTGATTTGCTTTAGCAGCCTAAAATATCTCAATTAACAAAACAGGATTCTCACTTATCAGGATTGTGCAACCTGAATAAAAGGCCTCAAATCCAGACTCATTGTGTCCTTCACATTATTTATAATTCTACTCACCTTTCTCCCCTCCACTTGTCAATTATTCCCACCTTTGAGATGTCACCCTTTCCATTGTAGACATTGTAGTAGCCATCATAAGTACCATTGTACTAGGGATAAAGATTTTGTTAAATAAATCGATTACAGTATGGTTTCACTGTTTAGGCTATAACATCTGTGTTTACTTACAGGTACAAATAGGCCCACAGTGTCTTTCAACATGGGGTCTGTGTAACCCCACAGCATTTCCTTGACAGTACGGTGCTGGAACAATGAGGAATTGGTTGCAGTCATCTTATTCTCCAGGAAAGTATGGAGCATTGGTGAAATCAGAGAATAAGCTCCCTGAAAAAATTAGTCATTTTATTCTCCAGGACAGGATGAAACATTGGTGGAATCAGAGAATAAGCTCCCTGAAAAAATAAATCAACTCATTTATTTTTACATTAGGAAAAGCTCAGCAAGTTAGTTATTTATCAGTGATGGCGTCAGTTACCAAAGGCAACAGTAAGGTGCCAGAATGATACACATGCAAAGCACACAACTGCTGCAGTTGCTTCAGTAGATAAGCCAGAAAATAATTCTTTTTTATGACTGTGATATTACATAATTACTGACCAGCAGAGGCTCTTTTTGAGATTGCTTTCACTCATCATTTTAGCCTTATCAAAGTTTTAAGAGAAACCACATACACTTTGGCCATAAATGAAGACTGCCATTGTGAAATTATGATTTCCAGATCCAGAGTCCAACACAACAGCACCCTGGCACCAATGTTAATGTCAGTCTTAAGTATTATGTAACTGGCTGCAGACCAAAGCAACCCTCCACAGGATGGTTCAGTTTGATTTAAGCATAGCTTGTCTTAGCCTTAGAACTTAGGCACAGTAGCTATTAACAGAAAAGCTGAGTCAAGTCAGGAATCACCACACAGTGGGGTGACACTCACTTACAGCCACAGCCAGGTTGAGGGAGGTCACCTTGTCTTCCTCTGGTCCCACTGACATGGATGGCTCAAAGATGGCGCCCAGAGGCAGCAGGTAGGCAACGGTTTGATTGGGGTTCAATGTGATGTTCTCTTTGGGAAGATATCTGGTTCTGTAGAGGAGGAGAGGTCTTGTTGCTCAGTGATGTTAGAAGAGAGTAACTTCTGGTACATTAAGCCATGAAGTGCATATTGACGAAATGAACAAATTTCAGAGGTACTGGGTTTTGGTAAAATGGCATAACAGAAGGACACAAACCAACCTTACCTATATGTGTAAGGACCTTTTTCCAGCACCACTGGACTTATACCGTACTGCAGAACCTCTTGGGGGTTTTTCACGTCAAAGAACCAGAACTGCCTGTACACATTTGCCCCTGTAGACACCCAGTTGTCATAAGCTGTTGTTCCAGGCTCAATGACGGCTTCCTAAGCCCCACAGACACACAAGACAGTCTATTTTTAACATGCCTCAAGACTGCCAGCAGGCCAGCTGCCCCACTGGCACATGAAAAAGGTGGATGCTCTGTTATAAAATCATTTTAAATCGTTTCAGTTTTTCTCTGCAGTTTCTACAAACAATCTGCAGTGCTTTTCTTTTGATGGATGAAAATGAGGCACAGCTTCTTGCTTACCAGCTGAAACAGCTTTCAAAATCACATGCCTCTTGCCTCCCATTTCTCCTGATTCACCTTGATCTCCGCATACACATTCTCGCAATCTGTTACTTCATATTTTCAAACCCAGAGTGAAACTGAGCACCATACCTTCTCCACTGTCCTCTGAATGATGTTCTTCCCCAGTGGAATAAGGATACCTCCCAGGATGGCTACCACCGCCCCAAACACAGCTCCAGCTATCAGCCCGCACCTTCTGTTACAGCAGCCCATGGCGATGTACGCTTCCCTCCGTATGCCCGTCTGTCTGCCTGGCAGCCTGTCCTCCTCCTGCCTGTGTTTGTGGTGTGTGCTAGTACGTGCAGTTTGTCTGTGTTTGTGTCCCGGCAGAGGCAGCAGCGCCGGCAGGCTGTACCATCACAGGAGCTGACAAAGCAGCAGAGGCCAGGTAAAGATACAGACACCTGAGCAGATATCCAGGGACCTCTTATAAATGAAGTTATATAAGGACAAGGAAGGTTTAAGTTTCAGCTAAGAAACGCACCCCAGGTAAGCGTTATCTGACCAGGTGATAAGAGCTGCAAATGGCTGTAGAGAAATATTGCAAGAGGAGTTGGCACACAGATAGGCAGTGTATAAATAAAGTTAATACCTGATCCTTATTATTTTTGTTTGTTCCATTCCAATACCTAATATTATTAAAATAAAACAAGCTGGACATACCACACTGTCTTGAATCCTCACTCAAATATCCAATGACCTGGATGATGAGAGCCTTCATAGATATTTTATCTTTTCCTGTCTCTTCTTCTCTATCTGTTCATCTTGTCTTTATAATTTCTGCTCATCCTCTGCCTTGGTGCACAACTCATGCTTAACAACTGAGAAAGAGGAACACATGAATGGTCAAGTTTATTCTCACTGTGCACAGGTAGTTTAAAAAAGGTGTATCTGTATTTGTGGTTGTGTGGTTTCATGAGGGTTATTAAAGTATTTGCTTTTTATTGCTCTTGAAAATATTTCCCTGTGATAATCTTGAGTCATTACTGTAATATATACTGTATATGGTTTGTCTTGTATATGGGATGCTAAGACTTAATCAACAGCAATGCTGATTATGGACATGTACTATCACCAGCCTCTTTAATAGGCACACCAATACAATTGTTTGCACTTCAGTGCAACACTTCCACCTTAGCTCAAAATGGTGAAATTGTCATAAATGTATAAATTCAATTATGTGTTTATTATTGAGGTCATTTAAAGGTGGTGTTGTACTGGACTACATTATATTTAGAGGTGTTTCTAATATTCTGACCATCTCATGTATGTTGCTGGGGAGGACAAAAATATAGAGGCACCTTTTGTGACAATTTCATCAAAAACTGAAACATTCTGAGCTTCATAAACACAGATGCTAAGATGGAAGTGTTGCATTGAAGTGCAAACAATTGTGCAGGTGTGCCTATTAAAGCGGCTGATGAGTGTATGTGGTGTAAATTCTGTCTAGCTAATGTATAAAACAAGACTACACTGGGTTCCACAATGCTGGATCCTATACTTCCCATAATGCAACTGATTAGTGGCTTTTCTTTGATCCCACCCTCCCCTGCCAAATCTTTCAAAATCCACATGTGCGGTTTGTAACACGGGCTTTCTCTTATAAATGTGAAGTGACAAACTCGCACCATAATAACTCTGGTGACATCGCTATGACATCATCAGGGGCTATTTTTGCAAAGTGACAGAAGACATCACACAACTGCTTCTAGAGGCTGAATCGTACTCTCTGTGAGTTGACTCTGTAGTGTCCCTTTAAAATGCCAACACTTTAAAAAGCTACAGGACTGTATGGTACTGTCCTTATTGTTGAAACACTATCTCGAGCTCATGTGTACCACTCTGCAGCACTGTAGTTACATAGCCTGTTATTACCACTGGAGGGCAGCCCTTCCATTCCCTCATCACTGTATATTTATGACAGAAGCCCTGTTACACTAAGCGCACTTTTGACCAAATAGTCTTTAAACCAGCTCTTGTCATGTAAAAACTCATGTATATGGCTTCCATTTCCTAAAAAGGTATCAGGACATTGTTCACATACCACATTTGGGGTCTTCATAGGGAGTCCATAGGGAGTCCTCTTCTGGATATGGAGTCACTATACACTGACTGGATCCAGAGGAGGGCCGGACGTATAGCTGCAGACCCCACCCACCCAGGCAACAGTTTGTTTGTGCCTCTTCCCTCCAGGAAAAGGTACAGGAATATAAAGACACAACCTTCCCCCTATGGACAGACACAGAACACTGGACCTCACACCTCCTCCTAAAGACTGAGATTTGCACTGAGCTGCACCTTATAATGTTACTACACTCTTGCTGCTAACATGCTGCTGACCTGATTAGGTCCCATACATCCCTTTTTATTTTTGTTCATATTTTTATATTGACTGATACAATTGTGTGTTATGTAAATAATATGTCTGTCTTTTAAGCCGACAGCTGCCGGAAAAAATTTCGTTGTGCTATGCATAATGACAATAAAGATTCTTGACTTGACTTCATGATTCACTTCTTGTAGGGAATACAGCAAAACAGTAAGAAAATTTTGAAAAAACTTCATGGAACTGTGAGAATGTCTCAGCGAATGTCTCTGTCATTGCTTTGCAGCAGCGCCAGGTCGTTTGTCATCTGGTAAGAGGTCATTACTGTAGTAGTAAAATAAAAAGGCCTGGCCAGCGTCGTTTTAACTTAGGTTGGCCATGCTTTTGGCTCATTTTTAAAGAGTTACATTTAGCAAAATTCAACTAGTTCCACTACTGCTAAACCTATATTAGCCTTAAAAATTACATCATCTTTTTTGCCTAGGGGATAAACCCTCTGATTGTTGTTATGTCAAACCTGAAAACGAACAGGCAAAGAGGGAAACCTCCAGCCAGCATGAGATTTTAACGGAAAAGTCAGCACTACAAATTTGCATGTAGTCCCAAAATGCCAGATTTGAAATGAAAATTGTATGGAAAGGCATGAAGACAGAAATGATCCAAAGGGCATTTGAGTGGAAGAATTTGAAGTGAACACCACCAACCACTGGACTGCCTGCTGACGTTGAAGATTCATACTTTACTTTGTCTGACAGGTTAAATTATTTAAACTACAAACAACTGTCATGTACGGATGAATGGGCAGGTGAGGGGATTAATACTGCAACAATTCTAGGTTTGGTTCCCATGCAACAATGCATGCTAAAAAACATAGGTCACAAAGTGAGTGGATAGCCTTCACAGGTAATATAGGAATTATGATCAGTGAAGCTTTACTGATATAGGTCATGTGTACCGTGAATATATATATCATGGTCTATATCTCTTTCACAATTGTATTGATACTCACAAAGTAAATAAATATTAGGGAGGTGACAATATATCAAAATTCAATACATAACGATACAAAAATGTTACAATATGTATCATTTTGTCTAGTGATATATCATGTGGTCTCCATATGGAGGTGACTTCATATTTTTTGGAACAGAACACAAGTCAGTATATCTGGTTGTACATAATCAAACCTCTGCCAAAAAAGGGGGAAAAAGAGGAACAAAGTACAAGTCACATGATATAGCCTACAATGTGAACATTGTGAGAATATATATGGTCAGGTAAGTAAAGTGTGTGCAGGTTTGAAATTCCATTGTCAAGACGTTTCTGGTTTGGATGTCCACCTTCAAAATAAAATATGCTCCCATATTTATTCTGTAGCACGATGCCAGCCCCAGCAGATAGCCTGACACCCCCAGAGCCCTGATCTCAATATCACTGTGAGTCAGTGTGGGATTAGGCTAGAAGCACCTGAGAAAGCCCAAATCCATAGAAGAACTGTGGCAAGTGTTTGGAAGAATGTAACTGCTAAGTACCCCGAGTAACAGCACTACATAGGTGACTAGGCTCACACCAAATATTAAATACTGCTACCACTAACTATTCATGGCATTATTTTTAAAGCATCTATAGTAGTTTGTCACAAGTGCCCAAAACCTTTGCACAATACTAGGATGGCTAATAACTTTTTACAGCTTAATGATAAAATAGAGTTCTGATCTTATGCCCGAACACCTTTGCTCCTTTTTTTCAAGTGTGAAATCCTCAGTCATAAAATCTTGGTGTCATTTTTGAGCAGGCTTTATCTCTGGACCAGCATGTGAAGTGCTTGACTCATTCATGCTTCTCCCAACTGAGGAATATTGTTAAACACAAACCTATGGTGTCACAGATTGTGACCGACATTAGTATTCGTGCTTTTATTTCATCCAAGTTAAACTACTGTAAATCCCGTTTCGCTCACTTAAAAAGTGGCCCCGAATGCTGCTGCTCAGCTTTTGACCAGGTCGTGAAAGAGGTTTTTAAGTATTAGATCTGTGGGGAAACCGCCTTTATTGTGAAGAGTCAGACCGGATGTGGCCGCGTTGCTGCGGCTGCTGGCGGAACTCAGCGCAGCTCTCTACAACCGTGGCTGCACATACGATACTAGCGGTCGTCGCTGCAACGAATGGAGGCGAGCGGGTGGAAGAGACATCACTAAGGAATTATTTCGCTATAAAAATAGCTTTCTCTCGGATGCAAGGAGGATTTTAAACCGAATATATTTCAGCGGGCAGGAGAAACGCCACACTTTATTGTTGAAAACTCCAATTGCTTCTTTTTTTCTGCCCCAGGAACACATCGATTGCTTGCCATATAAAAAGGGCGTGTGTGCGGGGGGGAGGCAGTTTTAATCATTTAATGTGGGTATATATGGTATTTTAGATATTTTTAAACCACCTGGGTCTGAAGGACACAGTTGAGGATGGGATGCACATTGAGCACAGAGGACAAGGCGGCGGTGGAGCGCAGTAAAATGATCGACAGGAATCTGCGGGACGACGGGGAGAAGGCAGCCAGGGAGGTCAAGCTGCTGCTGCTCGGTAAGGAAGGAGAAGATGGGGGGCAGTCGGTCGGTCGGTGGAGGAACTTCTCTGTGTGTTAGGGTGTGAGAGGATACGGGGGGGAACACACCCTTCCACTGAAACCCCACTACTACTGGTTATTTTCTTTAGTTAACGATAATGTTAAGTTGTAGCAGCTGTGAAGTGTTACGGAGTTTCAATTCCGCATCGATAGCACCCACACCGGTTAGCCTCACTTAACTCTGGTCACTAAACGCAGCACAAGGTTATTTTAAAAAAAATTAATAAACCTTACCAGGTTAACATATCAACAAAATAACACCGGTTTGTTTTTATTTGCAGATTTTAATCGGTTTGATTCCGATTTTGTAATCAGAATTGCATACATGGCACCCCACCCCCTTCCAGTTGGCCTTATATCTAAAGACCATTTGTGTTGACTAAAGCCTTTCAACAATGGCACATTTGCTCTCGTCTAGTCCAGTGCAGTGGAAATAGGCCTCTGACTCATTAGGGGCCCAAGCCTCACTGAACGGGACTGAAAACTTTTTGTCCAGTCACTTTTAGATATTTTAAGGTTCATTTCCTGTTTTGAAATTCAAAGTTGAGCTGTTGTTGAAGGGAATGTGTGTGTGTGTGTGTGTGTTTTCTAGTAGTACTACTTTCAGTTTCCTGTGTACAAGCTAAATTTTATACCTTGTTGCTTCGACAATAAGATGCATCCAGTGATGCTGTCTGAAAGAGGAAAGCGTCCTGCACAGCAAATGCAGGAAATTACAGAAGTGAAGTGGTAAACATGAAATCTGATTTAGTTAGAAGCCACAGAAACATGGGCAGAAAAATGCACTGATATAAACTAAATTACCATTGATCAGCTAAATAACAAAGCAGCTGTATGACATGCTAATGTGGAGAGAGCTGACTCATGACCCTTTCGTTGCTCTCAGCACTGACCTGTTTTGCCTGAGCTTTGTGTACCCAAGCTGTTTTCAAACCCTCTTTGTGTTTGAGTAGTGCTCAGGAACCCACCAAGCAAAGGCTGTTATTTTGGTGAATATATCACCAGGATCTTTTTGTGAATGCCACTGTACATCCATTGAGTTTTTTTAAACTTTATTATTACTTGCATTCACAGGTACGTTTAGTCATTTCCTAGCTTCTCCTCACCAGCTCGTGTGCACAGTTATGTGAATTGCTTGCTTTTAGAAGCCAGCCATGTGTAAGTGAATGACATTAGTTACATGTGGGAAAACACCGTTATCCTTTTTAAATAGAGAGTGTAAGTGAAAAACATTTCCCATCAGCTTTGGGAAATGTTGACACACACCTTATGTGGGTTACCAGAACACGAAGGTAATTCCAGAAGCAGGCAGGCAAACACCTGACAGAAGGCGCAGAGTAAGAACTGATAGCTGCGTTTGTGGAGAGATTTGTGAACCAGAGCAAGATAAACAAGGTTTCGTCATGTTCTTTACACAACTCTGAGACACACTTTCTGCCATTCTTGTGGCTCAGGAGGTAGAGCGGGTCGTTTCCTTACCGGAGGATTAGTGGTTCGATTCCCGTCTTGTCCAGTCAACATGTCGAGGTGTCCTTGAGCAAGACACTAAACCCCCAGTTGCGCCCGGTGATGTCACCGGTGTGTGAATTTGGGAGTGTGAATGGGTGAATGGCCGAATAATGTGTGAAAGCGCTTTGAGTGTGCTGTAAAGCATAGAAAGGCGCTATACAAGTATAAGACCATTTATTGTTGTTCATAGGATTAAACATCAGGATACAATTTTTACAGTTTCTTTGAGACAATAATGACATGAGGTGTTTGTATTTTTTAGTATTTACTTTTTTAGTATTTGCTATTCACCTTTTTATAGGAATGTGCGTTTGTTTTTTTCTTCTTGTTTAACTCTACATTCTTCAGGTACTTGGAATCCAGCCGGGGCTTGCTGATTGAAAGCGGGCAAGTTAGGTCAGGTTTCAGCTATGCTTGCGTAAGGTAAAATATGAGTTTTCCTCAGCCGTTGTTCTGTCACAGACCGTGTACGATTCATTTAGCTCTTCTCCGTTTGTCGTGATCATTGTGCGTCGGTTTGTGTGTCCTTGCGCGTGGCTGCATTGGCACCGTTTCCTATCATTTGTGTTTGATCCATTCAGTGTGGTAGCCAGGTAACACACTCGACCTCTTCAGGTTACTGCCTGAAGTGACACCTGACAAAAGGCTGGGACGCCAGGAGAAAGGAAAAGAGGCCCTGTAACATAAGAAGACTGCTAATGACTGAAGCATTAAAAATGAAAAGGTTCCACTGCAGAGAAGCAGCGAGCCGGAGTTAGGAGTTTGAATTGTTTACCTTTGAGATAAAGATTCACTGAAAAGATAGTGTTTTGGACTTGTGGATTCACAAGCAGTTCTGGAGTGTACTAACATCTTAACACACCCTGCCAACAAAGAGTCCACAAAACCTGTGGCTCCATAGCAAAACGGTGGCAGGGCTGCAGAGATGTGTTGTGTCCTACTCAAGCAAGTTGGTGGTGTATCTCTCAGAGGTGACATCTGCATGTGTGCAGCAAACCCCTGATGATGTGGTGAGTGGGAGTTCCATGTGGTGGCCACCTGGTCATCAAGCGCTGTCCCAAATGTTAATCGCAGGCTTATGTGCGCTCCCAGTCAAAACCTGTTTGCATGAAAAACTCTGAACCTTTGAGAGTTTGTGCACACACTGTCAAGTCCAAGCCATCTGCCAGGCTCAGGTGGATTTTGTAGATAAGGAATATATCTTTTTTTTTTTTTTTCCCCGTGAAAAACCAAACATATTTTTCATTTAGTTCTCAGGCTTTTTTTTTTATTTCCATCATCCCCAGGACCTAATTATCCTGCTATTCATATCTACATGCTAAAATAGATTAGTCACCTCAGCCTAATTGCTTTCTATAGCTGTTGTGCAACTGTGGGAAGATTTTATTAATAATCCTTAGCCTCAGTCTAACTTTTGTCATTGTTCTCTCTGTAATGTCCATATTTTTAAAGTTGTGCAACCAGGATTGCGGAACATAGTGTGCAGCATGACTGTGTTACTCATCTCGGAGACTGGGAGCCCCCCTCCTGATAAACAGACAATCAAAATAGTGTTTGCATTACTTTAACACTGTAAGTATCAAACGACATCTCTGTGAACAGTTGTCTGTGCCAGTGTGTGTGGGAAACAATCTTTTGGCTATTGATCAGCTTGTTGGCCAATCAATCCCTGTGATTTAGTGTAGTCCTTTTCCCTGGTGGGTAGCACCACTTGGAAGCTCCTGGAATCCCTCATGATTAACCCCCCAGCCCCCTCATCTTGGGTACTTGGTGCAAGATCACCCACGGGGAATTCCAAGAGGAAAGTTGTGGTTGATGGAGAGAAATGGCTCCGTTCTCTGCGGAGGAAGAAGAGAAAACTTTCACTGAGAGCTTTAGTTTGGATTTTCCTAAGATAGTTTGAACCGCTAGAAACATAAACCAGCTGCTCCAGTGGTTTTGACTGTAGCTGTGTTGGAGTGGGTGTATCAAAGCTGTGTGTGTGTAACATGACTCTGCATGAGGAGCAATAGGGCTGTGGCCATGTAACCCTTAAAGGTCTGTGTGTGAGAGAGGGGATCAAAGTCAGGGCAACTCTGTTTTGCATTCCTCAGGCCCAGAGGTTTTGACAAGAGCCACTCCCTAATGACATCACTGGTGTTGAGAGGCCAGAGCCAAGCCACTTACATAAGCACATAGTCACCTGGCACTGATTAGGATGAACAGTCAGACACTGAATTGATGGTATTCATCCAGCGTTAACCATTGGAATGTTTAGAATTAGCAGGCAGGCTTACAGCATTACCCTAACAGGTCTAGTGTTGGTGCTGTCCTTCTATGAACATGATCAACAGTAATGGCAAAAGATGCCTGACTCAAATTACTTCTACGTTTTTGCCATTAAAGTGTGGTTCATCTGGCATCACTCTTTATTTTGGCTTTCTGACACAAGGTGATCACAGTAAATAAGTAGTCCTTTATGAAAGTGAAAATTGTAAGTTTGACTAATTTGTCTCTTTAAATTTGGGGAAATGTCCTCTCCAATAAAATTTTGGAAGTTTGACTGTTTTTTTCCTTTACCTTCTTTGGGGAATAACAATAAAATAGTAAATGGCTGTCCTCTGACAGTAATGAAGCTGTGGGGATTATTTTCATTATCAATGAATCTGCTAATCATGATTTCACCAAGGGGTCCAACGTGATGTCTTGTCATAATACGATTATATTAGATAGGGAAAAGCAATAAATCGTCATGTGCGAGAAGCTAAAGCCAGATGATGTTTGGCATTTTTACTAGATAAATTAATCTAATATCTAAATAACTGGAGATTAATTGTCTGTTCGTTCTGTTTTCTGATCATAATCAGAACTTTTAGTCACCATGTGCTGACACACAAGGACTTTAACTCACACTGCTCTGTGTGCCACACAAGACAAGTCAACAAGAAAAGCAGAAGAATATAGAGTAAAAACAACGTTACAATAAGAATAGTACCACATAATAAATCAATAAAAAACATGTGTATCTAATCACTCACTATCTCATTAAACAGTCAAGTGTAGGTTACCTGTTCATAAGGCTACTAAGTCTAGGGAAGAAACTTTCTCTGTATCTGTCTGTTCTGGCATACAGTACTTTGTAACTCCGTCCCGAAGGACAGTGGCCAGGGTGTGAAGGGTCAGCAGAGCTCTTCACTTCCCCTCCTCTTGCCTGTGAGAAGTACAGGTTCAGGGCAGGTTGGCCCCGACGATGCGTTCTGCAGTCCTAACTGTCCTCTGGAGTCTGTTCCTGTCCTGATTGGCTGCTGAGCCAATTCAGACGGTGATGGATGCGCAGAGAACAGACTCAGTGATTCCTCTATAGAACAGTACCAGCTGCTCCTGGGGCAGATTGAACTTCCTAAGAAAGTACATCCTCCCCTCTGTGTGTGGGGGGGCACTACACTGTCACCACCCTCCAGGGCTCTCCAGCACCTGAGCGGTGACACATAATTAAAATAATGAGTCCTCAGGTGAAGGTGAAGTGCCAGGGCTGTACTGTGAGCATGCAATTACAGCTGAGGAAATATTTGTTGGAATTCTGACAGCGTGCACAGCGTAAGGCATGCATTTACTTATTCATTTTGTGTTCACAATTTTTATAACCAGTGCTCAGGGAAAGCTGTTACTAACAGTGTGAACCAGGCTCAGCAACAAGTGTCAAAAATACACTTTCATTTATTTATTTTAACATCAAGCAAAGTGGAACTCAATTAGGCAGATGATTGATTATGCTAGGGCAAACCAGCTCGACTCTGCTGACGGTGTCACAAGGTAACGGCTAGTCGTAGATTTCGTGATTTCACTTCCCTTTATTTTGTTCCTAGAGCTGAGAGAGAGAGGCTGGGGGTGTTCACTCAGGGAATAACCACCATCATGTGGTTTCAAAACTCTTCCCTAGTGGAAGGGACGTGTTACGTCATCATTGACAACCGGCCAGTTGCCTTCCTGTGATCAAGTCTCCGCTGCTGTAACATGAGGACACTGAGTGCACATTAGTAGATTTAATGTAGTTTATGGTAATACCCATTAGAGCAGAAGTCGAACGAATGTGGTTTATGGGGAAATCACAGATGGCTTTGAACGGTAAAGGGAAATTTTTAATAAATGAGCACTTCCAAGTGACTGCTTATGAGGCCATCAGCTTCAGTAGAGGAAAATAGAGCAGCAGATGCATAATACATAATGGTCTCAGAAGCCAACATGTCACACACACTCACAACCACAAAGCCTCCTCAGGTGAATGTGGCCTCACACTAGACATGTACTAGATATAATGAGAGCAGTTGCCATGGTACTGTGACGTTTGAGAGATCCGCAGAAAGCAAAAGACGTGCCGACAGTCTGAGTCCCTCTCTGCTCTCCCTGTCTCCTCCTTCCCCTCCGCTCTTTTCATCATAGTGTTGTCTCATCAGTCAGCTACGCCGCCATCAGTCTAATTAGTCATCGGCGCCGGGTGCGTTCCTGTCTTGAAGTGACAACATGTTTTTCGGCACTTCACAGCACTGTCAATAATAATCTGTTTAATCGTTGCTGGGCCTTTACAGTGAGACAGTATGATGTGATGCCTTTTGATGATAAAACTCCAAATGCACAGTTTGCTCATCCACAGTCAGATTCAGCCACACTTAAGTTAGAGCAACTCGATCATCTGACTGAGCCTATTGGCATCGACTACTCAGTGTATAAGGCTGGAACTACCCGGAGCTGAGGCCTGACCAGAGGTTTAAAGGTTCTTTTAACTTAAAGCTACTCTGCCTCATTTCTTTTCAACTGCTAGACAGTCTCTAGTTGTGACAAACTGTACAACATGCAGCCGGTCTCTAGTTGTGACAGACTGTACAACATGCAGCCTGCAGTCTGAAAGGAGCGTTAGCTAAATGGTGAATAAATTTGGCCATCAGTAGAACACTTACTAACGTTACACAAAATTAAAATCATCAATTCAATATAAAGGTGAAATCAAGACCGTACTAGGCAACGTTGAACCTGGTTTTTGCCAAGAGCCCGTCCATGGCTGGCTATTTGAAATGATTACTCGTGGTGAGAAAAACACTTCTTATAACCCTCACTTGGTGGTAGACGGGGCTAATTTACAGAGCACGTCTTGAAAACACGCTAAAAAAAGCTGGAATAACAATTGAAGTACTGTAGGTAGTGACTGTCATGGAGGGGGATAAGATAGCTGAGAGTTACCACGTCCTGTCTCAGTTTCATTTTAGCAGACAGTGTCAAATCTTTGCACACCTTAACATGGACACACCAACACCTTTGTCTCATTTCTCCTTTGGTTGAGGTAGTTTTTCTCAGACTTCATTTTCATGGTTCCTCCTCATGTTTACAATATGTACATATACAGTATGTACGCATTGAGAGCCGATGTACCAGAGTCAAATTCCTCGTGTGCCCCGACACACCTGGTCAATAAAGCTGATTCTGATTCTGATGCCATTTGGTCACATTAGATCACTGTATTAGTAGGTGGGGGGGGGGGTTGTCTTTTTTTTTTAATGCAGCCAGAGGAAGTGAGCTTGACATTATAAGGGTTGTTCTTACTAACATCAACTTCTTGAAATATTTATTCTCCGAGAATCATTTTTTTCTATATCTGTCTTTTTCCAGGTGCTGGAGAATCAGGGAAGAGTACAATCGTCAAGCAGATGAAGTGAGTTTGTTTTGCTACATCTAATGCTGCACACGGGGCAATCAAACTCTTTTTTTCCTTCTGTCCGTGCATCAGTAGTGACTTCTTTCATCAGATATGCATAATGGCACCACACCGATTCCTTTTCCACAACACAAGCAGTGTCAAACACTAGTCTTGCTTCTACAGCATCTCTAATATTACACTATGTGAATCGCAGTAAAAACAGGTACCATACATAATGGATGATGAGACAGCCCAGCAGAAACCATTAGTATAGCCTCTGCTTATACTGTGCATCCCTATGGATACATTCTTCAGTCAGCAGACGTGCACGTTGTTACATGTTTTAGCAGCTCTTCTGCTACGGTAGGAGCACAAGTGAGAGACGGTGTCTGATCTAAGGCAATTATTTCTGTCATTATCATAGATAATATAGCAGATTTAGTTGCTGTTAGCTGGTGAAAATTGCCTAAGTCTAGTGACGTTCTGTATGATTTTTATTGTCACCACATCTCACGAGAAGACCGAATTAACAGTGAATTACTTACTAACAAGTAGAAGTGAAACCAGTCCAAGAATTAATAAATAAAATCCTAATCTACAACTGTTTTAATCAATTAATCCTTTGAATCATTTTTAAGAAAAAATGCTATGCTACACAGTCTCCAGTTCTGGCTTCTGACTTGTTAGGGTTTGCTGCTTCTCTCTGTCTATTATGATGGTAAATTGAATTTTGTAGGGGTTTAAATGGTTATTTGAACAAAACAAGCACTTCTGCGCTGTAACAATGGGTCTTAGGAACTTGTGACTGGAACACTTTTGTCCAAACCCGATTAAAAACACACACAAAGCTGAACCACAACGTTGCACTGAGTGGTGCTCTGTTGTTACACTGAATTTGGAGCCTTAAGTTTTATTTTGAGCTGACAACACATTTCCTAGTTAGCAGTCTCACTAGCACATCAAATCTGTTGTTTTGTCATTTTTGTGGGATTATTTTTACAATAACAAAACATAGAATAAAGCCAGGACTTTCCTGCAGCTACAGAATATTCTTTTAAAGGTCAAATAAATGTAGAACTCATTTTACATTATATGTATTCAACTACTACTATTCATAGTAACCTGCACTGCATCTGTAGAAAAAGCTTTTTTTAATATAGGGTGACCATAATTTCAACATCCAAACATGAGGAGCACAGAGATCGGTGCCACTGTGGCTCGACAATGTTTCTGCAGATGTCACAATGAGCAAGTGAGGTCACAGGAAGAGATATTAAATAAGAGCTGAGGACAAAAATAAGTCATTCAGCTGGGAGAATTTGTTGGGAAAAGATGAGTTTTCTGTCTTTGACGATATTATTTGGGACAGTTTGGTTGCTGTTGTCAACTACTGTGACAGGCAAGTTTTTGCTGTGCAGGAAAATGGTTAATCTGCTGACCAGTTTTTACCCCCTTTCTGCAGGATCATCCACGAAGCAGGCTACTCAGAAGAGGAATGTAAGCAGTACAAGGCTGTGGTTTACAGCAACACTATCCAGTCCATCATCGCCATCATCAGAGCCATGGGGCGCCTCAAGATCGACTTTGGTGACGCTGCAAGAGCGGTGAGTGACAGAGAGGGATGTAATTTGGCCAGTTCAAAAATAGAAACCTGAAGCAAATGTGTGGTTTGAATGTAGTCATGACTTTAGTGGTCATTTCAGGTTTCTCTGCAAATCATGTACAATGTATTTAAATGTTGTAAAGTCAAATCAAAGTCCCTGCATGCACTCATGTTTACAATAGACATGGCAGTGAACCAGAAGAACACATTACTTCATCTTCTGTCTCTAAAATGTCCTTATAACCCTGTGACTGACATTTCATCTTGGTAGCAGATTTATGTCGGTTATAAAGGCAGAGTAGTAAATTGGATGGATGATTTATGATATTGACGCCACCCTGACCCCTGTCCCCTGTCCCAGGATGATGCACGCCAGCTGTTTGTGCTGGCGGGATCAGCAGAGGAAGGCTTCATGACAGCAGAGCTGGCCGGTGTCATTAAGCGGCTGTGGAAGGATGGAGGTGTTCAAGCCTGCTTCAGCCGGTCCCGTGAATATCAGCTCAACGACTCAGCAGCATAGTGAGTCATAAGCACACGCATGTAAACAGCCAAGGTAACAGTTGCAGGGTTCAGCAAAATTGTTAGTCACCCACCGAAATGAGTCAGTGATCCTATACACACTAATTTATGTCAACTTTTAATGACAGTCTTCCACATCAGATGACCAGAAGCTGAAATTGCTGCCGTTCCACACACACAAAGCTGCTGTCATAATTAGCCAGACACAGGTTGTTCCAGCCTGCAGCCATGCCCAGAGAACAGAAAGCTACAGTACTGTGCATGCA